ATGACCTCACCTTGGTGAAGTGAATGAACTTTGCTGGCTTTTTCTGAGATGTGCCTCGACGAGCATCCTCTCTCAGCCTCCTCCCACACCCACACAGTTGGAAGATCTTCCATATATTTTGTGGTTTGGGTTTTCGATACCTCTAATTTTAATCAAAGATGTAGTTTGCATTTTTGCTCCCTTTTGCTTGGGGATGATTTCTGAGAGGAGAAGGGGTAAATGCTCCCTTTATCACACCATTTTAAAACATTAAACTTCCTCCTATTGCTTTTGATTATATAATTGAAGACATATTTCATGGGAAACAAATCCCAAAAAATACAACCTCCAAAGGTCTGAGTTTACTAATTGGCTGGGAAGTGGAAATGATAATGACAAGCTGGCGTAACACGAGCAATGGTTGCACAGGGTTTCTAGAGCCTGTTAGCAACAATTCCTTCCCCAAGTCCTCCTGTCTACCATCCGCAGTCATTTCTCTTTTTACCATACTTTGTTTTTTCTTACCTTTCTGGCCTTTAGTTGAATTGATCCTTTTTAAAAATTCCCTCTTTTTAAATTATTTCTATTCTTTTAAAGAATATCCCGAAAATTTTAACATATTTATTTCATATTTTTTGTAACAAAGTCTAAACCTAGTCAATATCATGGTCTTCTCCCTGTCTTTTTTTCATCATAGCACCTAAAGCTTACATGGCACATGTACATAGGGTGAGCAGCATTTGCACGGGGATGATACTGGCTTATGGAGGTTTTCCTGGCATAATACTTTCTCTCTGAAAGATATTCTGGTTTGAAGAATAAATTTTTGGTCACCCTCCTTAAAATATCATAGCATCTGACGCTATTTTACATAATTTTTTGTTTGTTGCCCTCACTGGAATGTAAGTTCCATGAGGACTGAACATTTTTCTGCTTGTCCACTACTCCCCAAGCCTACAACAGTTTCTGGCACATATTAACCACTCTATACACATTTTGTGAATTAAATGAGTGAGTAGACTAAGGCAAGGTCCTTAGCATGCTTGAATTATCCCCTGAATTTCTCCCAGCCATCTTGTTATTACCTAACATTTTAGCTCCCTTTGTAAACACAAACATTAGGCATAGTTGTCATTGTTCACCATCTTGAGTTGGTTTGTCTCACCAATTTCTGTGCTCTCTGTGATTTCTTATATCCGAACCCTTCACTGTCTCCAGGTTTTTCCCTTGCTGAAATATGCCCTTTAGCAGACCTTTGTGTAAGGTGTTTATGTAGCAAACTCTTAGTTTTTATATGTCTGAAAATATTCATCTCCCCTTCCATGTGAATGATGCTTCAGCTGGGTATAGTGGTCTCGATTCACTGCTTTTCCTTACACAATCTGAAGATACGACTTACTATTTGCTCACATACTTGTTGCTGAAGACAAATCTGCACTCAGTATTATCATCATTCCATTGTAGGTGATGTGACCTTATGTTACAGAAACCAAAGTGGGTTCCCTCCACCAGAAGTAGTTGTCACACAAAGTACGGTGTATTTACAGCAAATGGGAGACCATGCAGAATCATTTCCAGAGTCATGGTGTCCCCAAACAAAGGGAAACAGGGACATTTATTTTGGATGGGGAATGAATAGTCAAACGGGAGAAGCAGGCATTCTCTTGCGCAGGCTCAGGTGGAACCATGCTTCCGTATATGCTGCAGGTTACGGTAACAAGGCCTAAGCTCCTCCTGGAGAGATCTTAGCATTCAAAATAAGACAAAGGAGATAGGTGCAGCTCCTGTGGAGGCCTGGTCTGGTGATTGCATCTCCTCAACATAAGGGAAAAAAATTTGGAAAAATAGTTAAATTCTTCTGAACCCACCCTTAAGTTCCTCAGGGCAATTAGTTGGTGACACTTTCTTTCTGCGGGTTTTGAAAATTTCTCTTTATCTGGCTAGAGATTCACTTTGACTTTTCTAGGTTCAAATTTATTGGTATTTATCCTGCCTGGCACTTATTTTGCATTTTTAAGCAGATGATTCATGTCTTTCTGATTTTAGAAATTCTCAGCCACTGTTTCTTCAATCCACTGTCTCTGCCGTTTCCTTTAGTTTCTCCCTATGGGATGCTTCTCAAGTTGGAGTCTCTCAGCCTATCCTGTATCTCTTGTAATTTCTCTTACACATTTAAAAATACTTTCTCTGTGATATGACGTCAGTGAATTCCTTAGCACCACCTTCCAAATCACTAATTGTCTCTTAATTTGTGTCTATCTAGAATTATGCACTTACATAATTTTTTCTATTTCAATGATTATATATTTCAAATTCTTTGCAGGTGCTAAAGATAATTATTATTACGTCATTTAAATTTTGCCCTCTGGTTGCATCTTTGAAGGTGAGTTCACTTCTGTTTATTGGGTCCATTTATTCTTTCTTATTGCCAATTTTCCTCGTGCTTTAGGAAAGCTGGTTTGCAGACCCACCTCGGGAGGGTGCTCACACTTTCTCCTCTTACCTCTTTATATCTAGTCATTTTCTGCCCTTTCCATCCATTCCCAGTCCAGAACCAGGCTTTTTTGGTGGCACCGGGCTCCTGTGTGGCAGTGGCATTGGAGACATTGCAGATGTAGACTTGGGCCATCAAGTTAGCTGGCCTGTTTGCCCCACTGGGCTTTCTCCTGCCACCACATGCTGCTTTGTTAGCATCTCCACTGGCAGCCACTGAAGCTGTTTTCAGTTGACTTTCCCTGGTAGGTAAGCCCCACATCCGTGGTAGTGAGCTTGGTTTGGTTTCCCTCCCAAAATGGAGCATGATTAGTTCGCATTACCCTGTAGGGAGATTCCTCTCTCCCTCCCTCATTACTGGTTTGTTCTCTATTGTTCTCTTAGTAGGTAGGAAAGGAGTGTTAAAACCTCCAACTATGATTATGGAATTATTTCTTCCTTAATTCGATCAAATTTCACTTCATTAATTTCAAAGCTGTTATCAACACACATGCATTTATGACTACTTGTGTCTTTCTAACTAAAGTGTTTTTAGCAGACACCATAATCTGCCTTTTACAGTGTTTAGCCCATTTATATGTAATTATTGAAAAGGTTTTGTTTACGACTACCATCTTGCTGTTTGTCCTTTGTCCCTTCTAATTTTGTTGTCCCTGATCCTCCTTTCCTGTCCTCTTTTGAACTATTCGAGTACACTTTGAATTCCATGTTAATGCATCTACTGGCTTTTTAGTTATACTTCTTTCCATCGCTTTTTAGTGGCTGCACTCATGGTTCTAACATGCACTGTCAGAGTTTACATCCTTCACTTTGCACAGCCTGTTGGAGTTAATATTGTCCCACTTCATGTAAAATGCAGAAATCTTGCAAGTTCTTCCCCCCCCAGTGCCATCCTTTATAATTGCCTTATGTATTAATTTACATATGTTATAAACTCTTCAAGACAAATGCTGTATATTTTTTGCTTTAAACTGTGAGCGTTTAAAAGAAATTAAAAGCAAAATCACTAGTTTTTTATATTCTCCTAGGCATTTACTACTTCCGGTACTTAGTATTCCTTCCTGAAGATACACGTTTTCCTTTGCTTTCATGTCCCTTCAACGTGAAGCACTTTCTTTAACACTCCTGCAGTACAGGTGTGCTGGTGCCAAATATCGTCGTTTTCTTATACATGCAAATGTCTTTATTTCACCTTCACTCTTGAAGTATCTTTTCATAGGATACAGAATTCTAGTTGACTGGGTCTCTCCCCTGCCAGGACTTTAAAGATATTGTCCCCCTGTCTTCTGGCTGGTCTGGCAGATGCTGGCTGTCTCGTGCAGCACCATCACTGAAGCCAGGCCACTCTTGTCTTACAAGTTCAACTCCCCCCACCGCAGAATCTGCCTCCTTTGTTCATTGTCCAGAGCCTCCAACTGGTTGCTTTCATATTTTCTTTAGAGTTTATAGTTACCTCTTTTCTACATTGCTCCCCAGAGTTTTAAATAGAAAACTGAATAAATCACTCCATTCCATATAGTGTATTCCATTTATTATTTACACGTATTATGTTTGAAGGGCAATAGGGAGGTGTCAGTGGGGAGAGTCTCTTCTTGAAGTGCTGTTTACTTTGACTTCTGCAATTTTACTTCTCTGTGGTTCTCAGCTTTTAATTCCTTGGCTAATCTTCCTGAGGTTTCTTTTATGACCTATTTCTTTTTCTCTTTTAAACACTGGTTTAACCTGACCTCAATTAGTTTTCTTTTTTTAATCTATTCCTGATTTCCTAGGCAATTCCAACAATCTACTTGATTTCAACTACCTCCTGAATGCAGATGGTTCTTACATCAAAATGTCCAGAATTGAAGCTCTCTCATGAGTTCCTGATCAATATGCTCCATCTAATAGAAACATCCAACTGGGCGTCCAGCACACATTATGGATCCTTCATTCCCCTTCTCTCTGGAACTTCTCCTTTCTCTTCCTCTCATTTATTTAGTCACTACATCAATCAATCTTTATTGAGTACCACATACTGCATTTAATGTTACAGATTTAGAACTGAGGGAAAAAAGCCTTTATCTTTCTGGATTTAAATTTGAGTGGGTGGCAGACCATACACTAAAACCACGTAACTATACGCTAGCAACAGGCAGTGATAAGTGCTAGGAAGAAAATGAAGCCCCAAGCCCTCCCCCACTTAATCTGTATCAAATGAATTTTTGCACCTAATTTCTAACTTTTGGAAAAAGGATTTCTCAAATATTAATATATTGGTGTTCATAAGTGGAAAATACTTCTTCCTTCAAATTGCATAAGGAAAATTTCAACCTTTATCCAAAATGTTTTGATGTAGCAGAATGATTACCTCTAAAAATAAGCATTCCTCAAATAGTTAAGTATTTACTGTTAACAACTGTTAAGTCTGAAATAGGAACTTTTAAAAATCTTCAAATGCGGAGAATCTAACTTATTTCCCCCCAGTGTAAAGTATGATGGCTGCATTTTGCAAGTATCCTTAGGCAATATGCAAACAATAGGCATAAAACTCTTTTATTATTCATTTTATTTTCATATAAATTAACATCCTAGAAAAATTGAAATAGAAACACTAAATACAGTATTGCACATAGCGATCTTTGTTAAATGCCCTATTATTTCATTGAAGGATGGTAATATACACATTGAAGAGCCTGAAGGGGACAGGAAAACTACAAAACAACAACTAAAAAACCACTACTGTTCCTTTGCACTTAAACTACAAACTAAAAGGTAAGAGACCATATTTTACATAAATACAAACAAAGTTATGATTCAGAACATGTTCTAAAATTTTAAGTTGCTTTCCATAATTGGTTTTCAATAGCAATAAATTCTCCTCTGTGTCCACAACCATAACTCCCAACAAATATCATTAAAAGAATCAAAAAAACAAGCCATTAATGTTAGACAGAACCATCGCAATGCATCATGAGCTGACTTTAAAGAACTCTCAGAAAGAGTGAGAGATACACTTTTCCTCCCTCAAAGTAAAGTAAAATAAAATGCTTTCCTAGCCTCCTTGAGACACTGAATCACGACATACTCATTTTACAGCTTTGAATCACCTGCCGTAACACATCAAGCCAACCCCAGCCATGTCACAACACTCAGGCAGGTATGTTTAATGAAGAGGTTCCAGAGAGATTCCAATCCATCCAAAACCTTATTATTATCATTTTTTGCCAATAATTAGTCATGTTTGGCAATTTTATGAGCATCATTTATTTAAATTCCTTCAAAATATTGTCATGTTTTCTTTGTGAAGGGCAATGGTAAATGCTATAGAGTGGAAAATCTTTAGTTCAATTTACTTTTGCTGCAATTCTGTTCTCAAAGAACGAAGTCTGATGAAAGCCTTCATTAAACTTAAAACTCTGGCTCCTGCCTATATGAAATGATTTATAGGGAAGGGTTTTCCTTCTGCTGTATTTTTTTCTATTGATTATCTGACTTGAGTAAAAAAATGATTATCTTCTTTCACAAATATATAGTTATGGAGAGCAACCCAACAGTTGGGAAAGCCTTGATTATGAGATATAAATGGTACTTAAATTTTAAAATAGAAAATTTATATTGTAGACATGAAACTGATACAAACAATTCACTAGAAATAACATTGTAACCATAAGTCTAAACGCAGTGATGGGGAGCACTGGTTGTCAGTGGAATGGGAGGTGTTCTGCTGTGAGAAGGAATATCCCACAAAAGTAAATTTCAGGTTAATGTTTAGCATGTTCAGAATGAATGCAGATACTGCCTCTTACAACATGCTGTTTTGGTCTATTGGTATAATACCATAAACTTGACAAAAAAGAAAAGGTGTTAAATTCTCCACTGGTCTACTGCTTTTGCATTTTTATATGAATGTACAGTAAAATTCAACCATCAGTGAACTGTCCAGAAAACACAAAGATTATGCAAGAGGTCAAGAAGAAAGACGATCAAAACGGTGCAGGTTCCTCCCCGCCCTCAGGTCAGCTGAATGTTGTGGAAGTGGCTGCAGGGACTCGTTTTCGTTCTGCTTTTCATTGTTCAGGTTTTCATGCTTATTTTTGCTTTCTAAAATAAAAGTACCAAATAAAAGTTACAGTTAGAAAGAAGAACTTTTAAAAAGGGATGGAATTTAGAATAGCCCACACAAGATCTTTCCCTTGTTTGGATCCAATTCTTTGGGAAAATGTTAAAGATCTACCAGCTTGTAAAGGAAAAAAAAAAATAAGTAGAATCTGCTCTATCTTTTAGAATTTTCTCCAAGACAAATCATCAAATATTTTTTAGGAAAAAAAAAGCTTTTTAAAAGTTAGCTTCTAATCGATGTGAAAGGGTGCCAACTCACTTTTCTCGTTTCCAGTGCTGAGCACAAATATATAAATATGAAAACTGAACTGGCTGCTTCATTTCGTGGTTAATGTGATTCAACTCTCTTCCATCCTTAAAATAGCATGATTGAGGTTAACTAATAAATAATTATTTCTCCTCATTCAATACTCCTTTAAGATCGTACTTTAATCAAAAAGACAGAAAATAAACTAAACCATAATAGAATACTTGTCATTTGATAGGATTAATTTTGATACAGAGAAACTGAAGGGAAAAATATCCCTTTTTTTTTTTTTTTGGTGAGGAAGATTGGCCCTGAGTTAACATCTATGCCAATCTTCCTCTACTTTACATACGTGATGCTGCCACAGCATGTCTTAATGAGCAGTGTGTAAGTCCATGCCTGGGATACAAATCTGCAAACCCCAGGCGCAGAAGTGGAGTGCATGAACTTAACTACTATGCACTGGGCCAGCCCCAAAAATATCTTTTAACTGGAGATGTAATGCCTAACTTTTTCTAAATAGGGCTGTTTAATCATATCCCCATTTGGGTTATTTTAATATCTTTTCCATTTAGATAATATTAGACATTGAATTCAAAATGCTCCTATTTGAAGGCAGAACTCAACTTTTCATTTAAAACAGCAGCATGTACTTACTCTGTGGCACCAAGCAATAATCTCTCAAATCATTGATCAAAACATTGACAGTATCACAAGGGAAAACCTGTTATCTTCACCAAGCCCTTCCCTCCCAAGGTGCACAACTTGGGCCTTTTATTTTAAAGGACGAAGTGGGCAAAGAAGAAACTTAGATTAGCTTGTTAAACTCAGTCTATTGGCTGACAGCTGTAACAGCCACCTCTGTAGAAACATCTGTGGGTACAAAGCAGGTCTGAGCCCCCTGGTCTGAGCAAAGGCCAGCACCACGCTTGGCATTTCCCATTGTGTTTTAGATCCCGGTGGGCTAATCCAGCTGTCACGGCCCCTCCGGGCTCACAGGCAGCCCAGTGCTGTGATTGCGTGCAGCGAAGAAAGTGAAGGTGGCCCCAGCTCCCCCCACACACCGTCCACATATGCATTTCCTTTGTAGATTTATCTTGATTCTTAAGCTTCAAATGCTGAATACTGAGACTCTCTTAGCCTTTGGGGCTTGATTAAAGGCATAAGGACGAGGAGATTCTTTAAGTCAGAGCTCATTATTTATTCAAACTTAAGAGGAAATTTATTAACTTATTATTATATGAGTTTCTATATATAGTGAAAACAGTGTTTAAAAGCCAAAGAAAATCACAAGTTAAAAAAAGCAAAAGTTAAATACTCACAATTCCGGAGTCATGCCTTGGTTTTATTTTATAAAGTGATTTTCCCTTCTTCTGCCTACACACCTCTTCGGCTTCTCTTACTCTGGGGGAGAGAAGACATGTATATTTAAACAAAGTCTTACTAGATCACTGCAATCCACTTTGCAGTCAACTCAAGGATCTGCATTCTTGGAGAAAATAAGATGACATACACAGCAATGTTATCCGACACTGGATTTAAAACACAGAGGCTACAGGCTAATTCATCCAGGGGTTCCTAACTTGGGAGCAAAGGATGTCGAATGGAATAGGATACAAACACATTAATATTTTTGTGTACACATTGCATCCTATATTAAAGGAGTCTTACAGACAATAAAGTAAAGAAATAGCTCTCATTTTCAGGCGAGGGTACTGAGATTGGCTCCATTACATAAATCAGAAGCATTAAAATAATTAAACAAACGGTATCAGATAAAAACTCATATGCTTACTTAAAATAACTTCAGATGCACTTGTCCCCATCATACTTGCCCATGCGCGAGAGTCATTTACAATGAGCATTGGGGCAGCTTTTACAAAACTGAGCCTCATCAAGCATGGGAACCAATCATTTAATTGAAAATGGAAAACAGAGAGTGAGCCATGATAACGTTTCAACACTTCTAGGATTTCGTTTTAAACTCATACTCCAAGGAGCAGACTGCAGTCACCAGAGGGGCGGTTCAAAGAGCAGGGTATTCGGGCAGCAGCTCTGCTGTAAGTCCTGGCTCTGCCCTTTGACACCGAGTGAAGCCCTCACATCACTGACCCGTACAGTCCCGCGAATTATAAAAAGGCTCAACATTATCTAATAGCATTACTACACAGTTACTGTAAAAATAAAAAAAATTCATTTAAAAAGTTCTTTATAAACTGTAAAATACTATAAAAAGTTACATATAAGTGTTTTCATTAAACAAACAGTAAGAAATCTGTAAACTGGGACCTATTAAAAAGGGGTGCCATAAGAAGGAAAATAACCTAGCAGGTTAATTTATTTTTCAGTATCGTGATTTTCCTTGGGAATTAAAAACGGACTATTTCAGGAGAAACTAAAAAGGCCATGACGTCTCAATGAAAGACTTTCTCTGTAGATCTTGAAGCCTGTTTCCTGAAAGAAATGAATTATAAACATATTTGTTCAGCCCAGTGGCAAAAGCTCTAATGATAGAATTCATCGTCTATGTGGCTGAATGAATCCCTGTTTTTAAACAATAGAATCAAACAAATAATCCAGAACTGCAGGTACAAGATTGATGTGACACTTTACCTTAAAGCAGGACAACTCAAAGTAATTCCTTCTGGACATAAAGGCCTGCTGGGTTGATATTGTTATTAATTCCAGAAAATGATGACAATTTAGAAGACGCTCCATTGTTTCCACTCTTACTACTTTCCACCCAAGCCATAAATTGCCTTTAATCCTTCTTCCAAACATTTGAAGACAAAAACATTTTCTCTATAACAAACCGAGGACTGCAGAGTTCCCATCTTCCTCTGAAATAGCTGCCAGTAAATTTAAGTTGAAGTATTTGGACAGGGAATTAAGGAAATTTTTTTTAGCACTTAGCCAAAATCCAGTAGATCCCCTGTTCAATTTCCTTGGAGCTCTGTAAAGCATTTCATGACATTTAAAAAAATGTACTTCACAACTATTTAGATCACCAGAGCATCTTAATTTTCTCACTCTCCTATTTATTTTGCTCTGAAAACACATTTTTATAAGCATCCTAGGAAGCTGAGTCTAATACTCACATATTTAATTTTACACAAAAACAAAGTCAGCCATTCCTTATGGCAGAGATGACGAAAACCGAGGAGCGTGTGCGTCAAAGATGCCGCCCAGGATCTTTCAGCTCATCCATTCACTTGACAATCATTTATGGAGCAGTAAGTCCCAGTCGGGCGCTGGGCTTGGCTCAATTTTATAAGGACAATTAAACTCAATGTCTAACAGGAGAGAGACACACGCAAGCAAGTAAATTACAAGGGTGCGTCAAGCACAGCCACCTAGGCTTGCAGAGGGCCAGCTGTGCTCCACAGGAGGCTCCTGGGGTTGGGGGGTACGGGTTGTAGAAACCTTTCTGGAGCAGGTGGATGGCTGAACCTCGTTTCAAAGAGAAATCTTAATTTTCCAGACTTTTCTTGTAAGGGGAAAGGGGACTGAGGGTGAAAGAAGAGAGCTATACACAGAGTACCACATGCACAGGCCCAGCTAAAGTCAAAGACACCACAGCGAGCTGAAGGGGCTGTGAACATATCTCCCTTCGCTGCCACTGGACCCACGCTACTCAGGGGCAAAGTTCAAACTGGCCTTCTGGTTTATGCTTCAGTTTCTTCTGCATCTGACTGAAGTGGGGTAGTCACTGCGTCTTAAGCACCTCCAGCTATGCACCAGAATCTTGAGCACTCGCTCTTCAAAGAATCATGGGGGATCTCTTCAGATGCAGCTCTCCAGGCCCTTGCTTCTGTATTCTGTATTCTGCTCTGGGATGCATTGATAAGCAGCACCCAGAAGAATCGGCTGCAGGCAGCTGGTGGGCCACGCTCTGAGAAACTGTGCCTGGAGCCGAGGCATTCTCCCCAAAGCCCAGCCTGGGCAGCCACGCTGCGCCCCTGGACCACCACTTCCTCACCCCTCTCTGTCCATGGCCACAGCCCCAGAGAGCGAAAACGTGCTCCCTTCAGCACTTGGTGAATCCCACCCCTCCCAGCTTCCTAGCAAATGCTGCTTCTTCCAAAAGCCAATTTCATTTCAACAAAACCCTGACAAGAAATTTTTTCAACACTTTAGGGAGGAAAAAAGAATGTGTCCCTGGAGGTGAGATACACTGCCAGAGTTGGCAGAAATAAGAAAGATAATGAGGGAGAAGCCGGGATGGCGGGGCCAAGGCAGCTGTCTGTCCGAGCATCATCCCTCGGGCCCTCCATCGTGGCAGCGCTGTCAGCTCCGAGTTCAGGCCTCTTGAGTAACTACTCATACATGTTCCACCCCCTTCCCCTCCTGCCTCACCCTTCCTCCAGTGATGCCTAAAATTTCCCAAACTGAGTAAGAAAACGATGTTCATCTCATAACATCAAAGGCTGTAAGCGAAAGGCGTGGTGGCAACAACATTTCAAACAATAAATAACAATGAGCAATACATCCTGCTGTAAGAGGAGGAGGGGAATAAAATGAGGGACAATTCTTCGTTTACAAAGAGAGACAGCAGTCACCACGAGGAGAGAGGACACCACAGCTGGGCTGCAGGACTCGGTCCTTGGCGTCCAGCTCTCGGCAGGTTGGCAGGTCTGCGCCCGGCAGACACGCCCGGGTGCTCCCTGAAGCTGCGCTCTTCCTCGGGGGCTCCAGGCGCCCGAGGCCACCGCCAGGGCATTTGTCAATAAGACCGAGCACTAGGAGAGAACTAACAAGGCAGGGGAAAATTTGCGGATGACATCTTTGATAAGTTTATTCTAACAGTCGAGACTTCTAGTCAGCCACCTCGACGACAGACGGAAAATATGGTCAAAACCAAAGCATATAATAATGAAAAGAAAGTTCTTCACTCATCACTTTTAGTGGTTTTGGAAAACAACACAGAAAGCAGAGACTAGAAAACAGGAAATGTCACATTATTTTTTAGACAGAAGAGGAGGATACTAAACAGTATACAGTGGCTGTGAGAGTTGCTTATGTGCCTATTTTGCAGTAATGTGAAACTTTAGAAACAAAACTATGTTGAACAAATTCCGAAAGTATATGCTTATCCCTTAAATGGAGGACCAAAGGTAATCAAAGAATACGAGGGCTTCTTTATCTTTCAAGGGAGAGTTTAGTTATAGGAAATGACCAGAAGGCACGTGGAAGCGGTTTGTCAACAGAGCAGGGGACCAATGTGAGCAACACGGCTTTTGTCACAAGCAAAGTTTCGCTCTGGCAGTAGTCACCGAGAGTGAATGACGGACACCCAGAGAATGGGACCTTGTGCCATTCAAGGGCCAACCTTCTTATCACCAATTGTGAATGAAGTCTTTTTGAAAAAACTAACCTTGAAATTTCTTAACTGTCTGAATTTCCCTGGCGGCCTCGCCCTCGCGCCCCCGCCCTGCTGTAATGGCTGATGCAGGCCTCCTCAGGCCACCACGGCCGGGCCACCCTGCACCCAATTTACATCCCATCCCCTTCCTAAGTTTTGCTTCTGTCTAGGACGGCAGGTTGTGATCACTTCTCGCCAGCGCCAGCATGCCTGCCTTAAGCAGAGCCTCTGCCTTCTTTTAATAATTTCTGTCTTCTCGAGAGAGGAAAGCCAGCGAAGTAAGTAATTTCGGTGGGCCTCCAATTACAGCAATAACTCCGAGTTGAGCTTGAGCTAAAGAAGAAGGTTCCTGGACTTGGAGGCAGTAATTTCAGCTGTCACGGGGCTTCCCCTCCCGCTGCACCTCCCACATACCTCAGGTTTCGCAGCTGTGTCTGCAAGGTTAGGCAGGCCAGAAGTCTGACTTACAGATAGGTAGTGTAAGAGTCTAAGGTGTTGCAAAGGTCGCTATATTGCACCACCCAACCTGCTTTATTCAGCAAGTTGCCCATGAGGACAGAAAGTAATACTGGAAAGAACGTAAAACCTGAAACTCAAGCTTATCAAGGTAAAGAAGTGTGACACCATTAACCGGTACTGGCAGATTCTGCGATGCTACAACCACCCACAGGATAAGAAGAGAGGGATTTAGTGAGGAATATGACTACGAGATCATCCCTCGGGTGAATCGTTTTCTAGGGCCTGCGCAAAAATGACCAGAGGAAAACAAAACATCTCTAAGTACTAAAGTTTAAATTTATTTAAAAAAAACTCGTATTACATTTATGTACTAAAGTGTAACCTAAAAAACTAGTTAAATTTCAATACGTCTCTACAGATTTTTTTATTCCTTACATGCCAAACACTGGAAGTTGTAACAACTTCATTTAGTTTTAAGATATTAAGCTTAGAAGTAAATTATAAGCATAGAAAATGTGAGTCTAGGAGATTGAGAATATATTATAGAGAAGACAATGGTAAGTGATAGAATGAAAAATACTTT